ATCACCGGGGTGGGCATGGTGGCGGGAGGGTAGTCAATTGACTTGAACAGCAAGTGTGAACTTAATGGTGTACAACGGACTGCGCCGTTAGTCTAATGGTTAGGATTTCTCCCTTCCAAGGAGAAGGTCGGGGTTCAATTCCCCGACGGCGCACTCATTTTACCACGAGTGGCAGACCCAATTGTTTTTTTTCAGGTTTTAATATAAAACCCTATTGTTTGAGATCCAACAAAATCGGTATTTTTCGGATATTTCTTCGGTTTTACAGTGGTCGAACGCATAGACCGACCTTCCAGATAATTCATCACATTCCAGAGATCACAACCTCTTCGGTCCTTTTGCAGTGTATTTTATTCGTTTTGAAAATTATTGACTGTTAGAAGAATTACTCATCACCTTCGTAATTCTCAATACCATGCTCATACAATAAATTCATCACATCTTTTGCAACCACTCATGTGCGAGTTGATCGACGCTCACGAACACGTGATTGAATGATAGATAAGACTACTCTTGTGTCTAGAATACGTGTATTGCGGCTAGATCTATTCGCAGCAACTTTGGCAGCAGTCACAGTCTTATCGTGTTGATATTCAGACCATACTTCCTTTACAGCATGAAGGTTTCGACCTGCCAGCTGTGCAATCTGCTCTGTAACAACTACAGCATTGCTATAGCGTAGGTGTGCATGCATGCGCAGTATCAAGAGACGTTCGTCTCTCGATAGACTGCGCGTTCGTTCACTATCGGCGAAGCTTGTGATCTCGTCGCAGAGCTGAGTGGCGAGTCCAGGCATTGCGGGCTTGTTGAAGAATGAAAGGTGAATATTCATGCAATCCATGCACCCCATATCCTGAAGCTGACCAATTAAAATGAAGCATGAATTATCAGATGGCAAACTATTAAACTCCATCAAGGTTATTATGACTCTACGAACGAATATACTCTTGCAAGAACTTTAACAATTGTCGACGACTATAACTATTTAGGATACAAATTGACTATCATTCTTGACTTTGATTGACCATTTCATAAAGAGTATTCTGTTTGAAGGAATGTGATCAAGTCCATTGTATTCAGAAGAGTACGCGGAGCAGTACAACAACTTTTTGTGATAATTTTTTTAATCTATAAACGCGCAAATTGAAAAAGGTCGGTCGATGCGTTCTACCACTGTTAGTAGGTTGCGGACTGCGCTCCTTGTTGAGAGGTGGGCAATTGGCAGTTTCCATTACACTTGTGATCATGCCCGACATCGTTGTGGAAGCCATCGTCATCGACATCGACAGCGATATAGCCGACGGCAACAATTTCAATGCCGATCCTAGGGCCGGCGCAGACAGTTATTCCTTGAACGGCAATTGCAATGACGATGATGCTTCAGGAGGGTGTAAACGTGGTCGGCAAGGCAGTAACCTCTGGAGTCTTTACACCGACGACGTTAACCCGCATAAGCACAAATGGGCCCTCTGTAAGCACTGCCGCATGCTCGTGAATCATCACAAGAAAAGCGAATCGACGAAGGTCAATCTGAACAAATGTGCTCCGTTCCGCATGAATGGTATGGAGGAGGATAAGCGTCCCACCTGGTACAAAGCCCTTAAGAAGCAAAAGAAGCCTCTATTGAAGTTCCCGCTAACGACAAGGCGGGAGATACAAAAACCTTAACATTACTCGATATCAACTAAGAAATGAGTGACGACGAACGCCAGGTGGAGAATGACCGGTCGAGGTCACGTGAACGCTCGGTTAAACGTCAAATGGTTAAGGACTAGGGTCGCCCGAGCCGTCGAGTGGTAACGACCCCATTCCGGTCGCCGAAACGCAACCAACCGGAGCCGGTGGGCACGCGGTTCTCATTTGGTGGTATGCATTCTGTACCTGCCCCTTCCCCGACAGCGAAGCCAGATGATGCGAGACAGCTGGCGTGACAGCTGAAGGTGAACGTGAGGACGACGACATGGGACAAGAGGTCGTGAACGGTCGGCTTTTGAACGCGCCGGCGTTGCCACAGCCTCCATCGTTCAAGGGCTCAACCAAGGCGGAGCGGCGCGCGTTTGTCCGGGAATACGACAAGTATGTGGACCAACTCAACGCGCTGCAATCAAGCGCGTCGAGGCCGTTCCTAATACCGATGTCGGCGCGCATGGATCAATTCACGAAACGACGCGTCACGATGTTCGATCTTGGCAAGTCTTACCGCGACGTGACGAAGGATGAGTGGATCGCATGGTTCAAGAAAGCGTACTATGAAGAAGCGGGCGATTACGAGTTGCTCAAGAATCGTGTACAAGCGTCCAGTATCTTCGACGTAAAGATCATGGACGCGGACTCGCGCGTGGGACGCATGTTAGATGGCTTGATGACAGCCCTCCAACGTGATAACCAAGAAGGGGTGTTGCACCAGGAAGGAGAGATGGTCGCCGACGTCATGGCCCATTCTGTGCGCCCAATAGCGCTGCAGAAGACGGTACTGCGTCAGCTGGCGCTACAACGAAACAAGCCCTTGAAACAGGATGTCTTTCGACTTCGTCAAGTGGCTTCGTACCTTCGCCGGGGGGTTTCAACTCTATGTAACGTTGGAGGATGAGAAGGCGCTGGCGCCCGAATTCACCAAGAAGCACGACCAGAAGCCGCGTTCACCAGAAAGATAGGGCAGCCCGTGGAAGCCGGACAGAGTGCCCAAGGAAGCACTTAAAGTGGATGGTAAAGGCACGCAGGGTTCGGCTGGATCGCGGCTTAAGGCCGCATGCTTGAAGTGCGAGAAGGATGACACCGCGTGGCAACTGTCCATTGGTCAAACCTGGCGAAGCAGAGAATCAGTTGGAAGCCCAAGTGGCAAAAATGGAATAAGCGAAAGAAAACGTACAAGCTTGGGACACTCAGCCCGGTGCCACAGGGCCGTGGGACACGACAGAAGAAGTGGTTCTGGTCCAAGCGTGTCTCCTGTAGTTGTGTATGGATGCCACGCTCATGACAGCCAGTGTGATGCGGGAGATGGAACGGTCAAATGTGACAGTGGATGGCGACACCAAGCCGATCAAGATCTACCCCTACGGCCCGTCCGCACCGATGGTGGTTGCATGTCAAGTGCAGTTCAAGTGCGTCACATTGGAGACGCCGTGCGGGCCGCTAGCCCTACGAGGGTTGAAGGTCTGGGTCGACACTTGGCCGAAACCAGGGGAGCACCTTCTTCTGCTGAGCCGATCCGTAATGGAGCGGCTGGGGCTTTCTGAGGATGATCTGTTGACGGCAGCGTATCAGAAACAAGTGGAATGGGACGTAAGCGATGCTGGTGCGTCTACTGGTCTGGCAAACGTGCGGCGACTTCTGGCCGCTAGTATTGATGACAGCATTGACCCCGAAGATGGGATGTTGTGCACCACACCCGACATTCGCGCAATCGCAAGGGACGAATAACCCTGAACTCGCACGACGAGAAGAGCAGGTCAAGCAAATGCTGGCGACCAAGCTGGAGCAAGCGATGGATGAAGGCCTAGCTCCAGTGTTGGCGGAGAAGCTCGGGCACCTGTTGGAGAAAAATATGGTGTTCCGCCTTGAAATCGGACATGACCCCCCATCGCTGCGAGTGCGGCTGCGTCCCGACTCGGCGCCGGTAAATTGTGGGCTGCGTCGCTATCCTCCAGCGCATGTCGAGTTCCTCAGGGAGCATGTGGGCGAATTGCAGGCGACTGGGCTTGTTTACCAAAACAACCGCGCCACTTGGGCAGCGGCACCCCGTGTCGCCCCGAAGAAGGGTGGGGAGCTGCGCACGACCATTGAAAGTAGGGCTATCAACGCTTGCATGGTCCCATGCCCTGGCCAATGCCAAATCTTGACGCGGCGCTGACGCTCCTGGTGGGGTCGGAGGCGTTCTTCACGCTGGATTGTTTAAAGGGTATTGGCAGCTTGCGTTGCACGAGGACTCGCAAGATTACAATACTTCATGACCCTGCAAGGCCTGTACACACATCCTTGAGCTTTTTGTCTCTTTAACTTGTTCTCTGCATAGTTGCCGATGTTGAGGGCTCTACGCGGACATTCTTGACCGTGTACAGAATGCCAAGCAAGTACCTGCTGATCGTTTGGGTGGATAGAAGAGTTCCCGGAAGCCGAACAACACGAAGACTTGCATTTGGCCGAGCGTATACAGGCAATTTTCGTTGAGGTAACTTTCGAGAGCCTCCTGTATCAGGCGTGCCCTGAGCGGACTTTCGTCCGCTCAGGGCGCGCACCACCGCGGGGAAGCGGTTAAGCGCGGTTGTTCGACACAACACGCCAAGCGGTCGTGACGGAAATTCCGTTGTGCTTGGCGACGATTTTGGAGTCGTCGCTACCTTGCTGGTATGCGTCGAGGACTCGTTGCTTCTCTGCGACGGTAGGTCCGACGAGTTTCATGCAGATTCAAATGTGATGATGTTTGATTGTGCTTATTTGGTTTCCCGCTCAAGGTTTGTCGCCTTTTTGAGGAGATCGCCACGTGTAACTTCAGTTTGATGGTGGCTCTTTTCATATTGGTAGTTGTTTTTCTAATGGTCAAACCTGTATAATTTTATGAATCATCCGGAATTCACATTGATGGTGGTTTTGGTTCAGGTTGATCGGGGGAAGGTATACTCGCGCCATTCATCCCTTCGTAATGACGATGTGGTTCGATACCGGAATTTTCTTGTGGTCATAAACAGATGTAGTGCGCTTTCGAATATGTTCCTCCGTTATACACACTCCAACTCGTCGTACCGCAAGACTCACTCGTTGACGCTACTCTCGACTGAAACTAGCGAGTCGGAACTGTTAATGCCTCTCATGTTGATATCGGTAATGGGTTTTAGTGCCCAATTGACGCAATTGTTAGGGTGGAAGGTTGAGGCGTTCTGCTACTTATGACGCCAACTGGGATTACGTATTGGTTGGATTTTCGATGTGGTGAACAAATAGCTCATGTTTGCCAGTAAAAGTCATTCGCAGCCTCATGTTTGTAAATTGACTGCTTGAATTTGCTCCAACGGTGTGGAATCATATCCATGGAACATCTGATTATCAAACCGCACTTCGACATAAAATGATTGTATATCTACGAAAAATGTTAACATTGGCCCGATTGGAAGTTGGGTAGATATCAGTATACGTGCAAGAAAACTACGCACATATTCGAATTCAAAGCCCAGAATACGTGATACTACTCTGGTCCGTAATGTATGTCACATTGCCTTTTCGTTGGCGGGATATTTCTAATTTTGGCTGTATTTTCGACCTGATTGGTTTAATCGAAAGTGCAAGATAAGCACTTTGATTAGCTGTTTTCAGATCAAACCAAGTCGTTTTACTTCCCAAGATATAGACCACCAAAGTGGCGGGAGCCAAAGCAGCTCAACATTTTGACCTGTCACTCATTTCAGAATTTTCACTCACTTAAGACACACACGCGCATCCCACGAGCCCTCTATACACTGCCACAACGCCAGCGTTGCCATGAGCCCTGAGCCCATTACCTGACAGCGTCAGACGCACAAAGAACCTCACGGCTGACCAGAGGCGCGGAGCCTATGAGAGTCTCTTAGAACGCTCTGTCGGCGGCAAGCTTCCGTATGGGGCTTTCAAGGCCCAGTACCAGCTGTATGACTGCCAAGGGCGTACCATAGCTCGCCTGTGGAAGCGAGGACGCAGCTTCTTGGCCGACGGACGCGCCATCGCCGCGATTGGGTCAAAAATCAATGGTATATAAATCTATATTAAGTCTTTTTGCACAATATATTGAGGGTGTTATATTAAAGAGATTGACTTGATTGGCAGATCTGGACGTAAAGTCGTCCGCACCAATGACGAAATTGAAGCCGCCATCCGAGTAGTGTCCCAACATGCGCGACAGACAATGCGCTCGTTGACGCGGCACTACAACATACCCAAGACAAGTATCTTTCGCCACATGAAGGCGGTTGCGAGGCTCACGGCGCGGTCAAGTTACGTGAAGCCGTACCTCACTGAGGCCAACGTCCAAGCAAGGCTCAAGTTCGCCATGTCGCACCTCGAGCCGTCGTCAAGTGAGAACCACCTCTTCAACGACATGCACAACTACGTGCATATTGATGAGAAGTGGTTCTACTTGACAAAGGTCAAGAAGCGTTTTCTACGTGTACGAAAACGAAGAAATTGCGCCGCGTTCTGTCAAGTCCAAGTTGTTCATCACGAAGGTTACGTTCCTTGCTGCTGTTGCCCGCCCGCGGTACGACTACTCCAAGTGCCAAATGTTTGACGGCAAGATCAGCGTGTGGCCCTTCATGTCGGTGTCGCCAGCAGCCCGAACAAGCAAGAACCGGCCCAAGGGCACCATGCTCAAAGAGATTATATCTATCATAAAGAACTTGTCTTTGAAGATGCTTTCTATCATAAAGAACTTGTCTTTGAAGATGCTTTCTATCATAAAGAACTTGTCTTTGAAGATTCTATCTATCATAAAGAATTTGTCTTTGTTCAATGTTGAATGTGACCCTTCCAGCATTGAAGAGGCATTGTTTCGAATGGAATGCCACCTTGGCGACGAATCTCACTTGGACGCTATGGTCAATTGCCCTGATGAAGCAATATAATTCGTTCACAGTCAACGAAGCCATCGAGGGACCAGAGATTAGGGTAAATTGAAATTATTGCGTGTCAAAGGTTTCAAAACGCCATATATATTTTTATTGTTACCATGCAAACATTTCGTTTTGAGAGTTATTCCACATCACTGTCACTCACTCCTGAAGACGACTCCGACGACATGGAGTCAACTTCCTCGACTTCATCCATGGTAACGAGCACATCATGCAGATTCTTCACAAGCTTTGGTAATCTGCCCACACCTCTTTGACGACTCTTATGCCTCGTCCTAGTATTCGCGCGATCGTTTCGGACACGTTGCGAGCTTTGTCGTGGCGAAGTTCGGCGTGCAGGCGGAGTATATCAAGACGTTCTTCTTTAGTTAGACTTCTTGGACGCTCACGCCGAATGTAGTTCGTAATGTCATCGTACACGTCGTCGTTGATGCTTGACATGCCAAATTCGTGAATGGACGACATGCAAGGTTGAGGTATTATTGTAGAGAGGTTGCTAATAGAATTAAAATATGGTCTCTCCAAAATTAATTGTATTCATTGATAGAGGTTATGATTTGTCATTATAGGAATTGGATGCCTTGAGCTGTTTTGCTACAACGTATCTCAAAGGTTATTCATTTTGTAGTCTGACATCCAATGAACAGAATTTAGTTCACACTGAGGTCTGAAATTACACCAAATTTCAGAGGAAACTCTGATTGGGTTCCTGAGATATGAGTGAATGTTCCCTCGTTGCCTTCGTTGACTGTCAATCAAAACACATTAAATTCATCTCGTCCAATATGCGTTGTTGGAGACACATACAAAACCCAATACACTTCGATCCGAGACGGTATAATGAAACCAAGTGAAAAACAATGGCACAATCTTCATGGACCAGAGTACATCGTACAGTACAAGTACTCGTAAAAATGGATTGCCGCGCCGGGGTTTATCATCTACGAGAGTCTGACCAAAGTCACACAATTCAACACAAGGCAGTAATACTACTTGCTCAAGTGTTTGGAGCCAGGTGCGTCGAAGCGGATCATCTTGAAACTCGCCACTATCAAGACGACCACGTACCAACGTCTTCTTCCATGATTGAATCACGGTGCACATTTCCTATCGCTGGTTCTGTGTGAACTCTTGACTTTACAAGCGACCATTGTAGTAGTCGTTAGAATCTGTGGCCTAACTTAAGAATCAGAGATCTCTCATGTTACAAGTGTCTTCGGCTGGTGTCGCGGCAATCATAGAGGTCAATAGCCACGACACGACCAAATTACTGCTGTAGGACGCTCCCGGCGCGAATAAAGCTTGCGCAGGGACTGTTATACTGGTGGCCAGGCCATTAGCAAGTGTACACGCGAATTACAGCGGCAATGGTACTTCGGCATATTGGACATCCGCCCTTCTTTTGAACGACAAGAAGGCAGTTGTAGCATCCCGCCAAGTGGCAGCATGGGATGCATACGGCGGTGCGGGGCTTGTCCATGCAGATCACGCACTCGTTGTGGTCCAGTTGTCGCCCTGTATCCGGTGTGAAGGCTTCGGCCTCTGGAGCTGGAAAGGGAACAATCGCCAGTCCCAACGCACAGTCCTTGTCGGCGGGATTCTTTTCCAGACCATGAAGAAACGCAGCTTTGGCCTCGTCGTGCTTGCTCTGTTGGAGTAAACAATCTCCAATCCAAGCGAACGCAGACTTGTCGAGCTTCAACATCGTGATGAAAACAGTCGCTCGTTTCTCGGCCAAGGAGTAGTCGCCAGCGCAAAAACATGTCACAGGATGATTCTACCAATATCGTGAGTTAGTTTAGGCGTGGAGAACGAATGTGACCTGTGCACCGAGTTTCAGGGCACTCACGACCGCCACGTGACGGCTAATGACAGCAAGAACTAGAGGAGTGCACCCGTTCTACCAAAGTTATGTCATACAACAAGACGAAAGTACAACGCACCATGGTTGTCGCGAACAAGTCGGCCCCAGCCGCCAACAACCCCTCGACTACTTTGACGTGGCCATTCCTTGAAGCAATGTGGAGTGGCGTCGATCCTCCCTACTTCCACTTGAATTGACATCTTCAGATCATCGCAATATCACATACATTTCCCGATGCATTGACATTGGCACCATTCTCCACCAGAAACTTGATGAGATCCACGTGGCCATTCTGGGACGCAATGTGGAGGGGCGTCCATCCCTTCTGTGTCCGGATCAATAAATTGCATCCACTCGTCACTGCAGCACGTACTTCTTCGATTGCGTTGACATTGGCACCTTTTTCAACCAGCATCTTGACGATGCCCACTTGGCATTGCTGTGAGGTAATGTGAAGTGGCGTCCACATTCTCTATTTCCAAACGAGATGACTGAATCCGATCGCACACTACAACACTTACTTGGTCAGTTGCGTCGACAATGGCGCCTTTTTCGAGCAGCATCTGGACGACATCTTCGTGGCCATTCTGTGCGGCAAAGTGGAGGGGCGTCCACAATCTCTACTTCTAGATGAGTTCCTAGCATCTATTCGCTGCTATAGTGTATACTTGTTCGGGTGCATTCAAGTTAGCGCCTCTCTCGACCAGCAGGTTGACGACGTGCAATTGTCTATTGATGGAGACCCAGTGGAGCGGCGTCCGTTGCCTCTGTATCAACCCAATGTTATACCCCGTATGCGAGTGATGTGATCAGCGTACCTTATCTCTCATATTGACATCGGCACCATTGTCCAGGAACCTTTGAACGTTTGCAAGGTGCCCCCACTTCGCTGCCTCGAGCAGATTGACATGAATGCCACAAACAGCGCCCATCCTCAGCAAATGGGCAGGTTTCAACTTGATAGGTGTTTTTGATGGGGCAAATATAGATCGCGACCACTCATGTTGATCAATGTAGGCGCCGTTCTCCACCAGCATCTTGGTGACATCCATGACCTTCCTATGAGGCCTCGTGGAGCGGGGTCCATCCTCTCTATTCTCCAAATAAATGGACAACACAACCTGTCATCACAGCAGGACATTCGTTCGTTAACTTTGGCACCTCTCTCGACAAGCACCTTGACGACAGTTATGTGGCTATTCTGCGACGAAGTATGAAGTGGCTTGGACATTGCGTGGACCATGGAAATCACTCGTATGGATCAACCTTTCGTCTCTACTTTTGGGCGAAATGACATGTTGATTGTAGCACAATGTGAATGGGACCATTGAATTATGCACAATGTTGACTGATTTCCAATTTCTTCAAACAGAAGCCATGGTGACGACGGGACATTGTTGCGAATTCGCAGATGGGCTCAGCACTGGTCCTACTTCATGGACGAGACTACATCAAAACCATATTTATCCTGAGTTCTTGTGCAGAATTAAGAATAGAAAGCCATCGTATGACCATCAGCCATTCGAGCCGACGATGCACTTCGTGGTTCGTAAGAAGAAAAACACACGAAAAATCCCTCCAATTTGCTGTTGTCGAGTTCCAGCTGTCGAAACTTCTTTGTGATTCGAGAATGGGGCGAAGATGGAAGTGTTTCCGTCGTGTGTGGTTGCTTGCGTTGGAGAATTCCAATTCTTGATGTGGTTTGAACCGCACGTGCTGTCAATGGGTGTAGATATTCCTAAGTGTATTTTGGACTGTGACCCGTTTCTATCGATTTGGCGTGCAGTTTAGCACATGAGTGTACTGGGGTGGAACACTAGGTAGGATTCCGAGTCGACTTTCACTTGATGGATGAATGCTACATGACACATGAACAGGAAGAACAGAGCAGGGATATGTTTGGTTTTTAATAATCCTTTCTACCAAGGGTCACCTGTGCAATTTTCTTATCATATTGCATGTCGTGAAGCCTCCTACGTGGAGAGCAATAATCTCGACGACCGTGCTCCGTCTGTGCGTTCGCATTGGTATGCCTTCTCTCTCCAGTCACTGACGAGTGACTTCGAGACACTCTACGCACCAAACGCATCATTCAAATGCAAAGTAATCTCGAATAGGTGATGACAAGTTGTACTACGAGTGACTTCGTGTCCTGACAGTTTGCAGAAATCAGTGCTGGTCACAAGAAAAACAACTCCCAACTGTACAGTATTAGTCAGGCGAAAATCGATTAACCACTGATCGGCCAAGGTGTTTCGTCCAATTGAAATTAGTACGATGTTTCATTGGACAAAATAAATCCCTGTGATAAGTATTACCTGTATAATGTGATGGAGGGAAACAATATCAATTTTAAAGAGGTTTTCGTTTGAATTTGAATGCCGCCAAGAACGTCCTACACACAGGAGGCGATGGACGCGGCCGTCCAAGCTGTGCTCAACAAGACGCACAGTGTTTTGACCGCTGCTGACGCACATGGTATACCCCAACGCACACTGCGCACCCATGTCGCCAAGGCAATCGCGGGCGACAACCGACCGACGACGATGGGCAGGCCGCCTGTCCTGCCCAAGGAGTTCGAAGACGACTTAGCTACTTGGATTGTCGCAATGGAACACGAAGGGGTACCCGTTGGCTGTCGTCAGGTCGTCGACAAGGCAACCGAGATACTTCAAGTGGTACATGATACACCACGCGACACCAAGCTTACGAGCGGTTGGTACAAAAGATTCCTCGAACGCAATCAAGATCTCAAGATTGCGACCGCACGAACTCTGAGCAAGCCACGAAACGGTGTCGACAAAGATACCGTGATGGAGTTTTTTCATGAGCTTGCTCATTCCATGTCACTTGTTGACATGGATCCATCACGGGTCTTCAACATGGACGAGACAAGTTTTTCGCCGTCCAAGACGTCAAGGAAGGTGGTTGTCCAACGCACGACCAATAATGTTTACGTTGAAGAAGCGACAGCCTCAGCCCACGTCACGATTGTCGCATGTGTCGCTGCCGACGGGACGAAGATTCCACCGTTGTTCGTACTCCCGGGCGACACTGTGTCTACACTGGAATGTGACAGCCTGTCTATTCCTGGTGCCGCAATCACGACCTCCGAAAAAGGGTGGACCAACTCATTCATTTGTCGCAAGTGGATGTCCATGCTCAACTCAAGTATCCCGATTTCGACGCCACGTCCCATTTTGCTCATTTTGGACGGGTGTTCGTCGCATTACTCCGAGCACATTTACGACGCTGCGACATCATTTGACATTTTGCTGCAATTTCTACCAGCCAACTCAACGCATCTGTTCCAAC